TAATCATAAAAACTTTAACAATTAGTCAGGTCCTCCAACTACCAGCCATGGAACCCACCCTAGCTCCATCTTGAGCAGGAAAGAATTTTTTTTTTTTTAAGATTTTTATTGGGGAATCGGGGGATGAGAACAGCGCTGGGGAATCGGGGGAAGGGGAAGACAAGTTGCTGTCCTTTTTTGTTCTTCACTCTAATTGTGGAGGACGTTGCTTCACTGGCCCAAGTTGGCACCATCATTGCGCTCTTCCCGGGCAAGGCAGATCAGTAGCTGGCTTCTGGACACCCGCTCACAGAGGCTGCTGGCCGCTCACGCTGGCCGCTGGCTACACACGGTAGCCCATGGCAACCCACTGCCACAGGGGCTGCAGCCTACGTACGCCATTGCCGGTGACTCACGGCAGCCCAGCTCCAGGCTGAGCTGTTGTTCAGCATTTTAGCTGTAGAGGGCAGGGTCCCTGGCCCTCATATGTGGGATCCGAACCAGGGCCCTCTGGTGTCCCAAGCCAGCTCTTAACCAACGTGCCACTTGGCCAGCCCAGGAAAGAAATTTTTTGACGGCCATTGGGTAACTGATTCCTAGCACTGATGAGAAGTCTGGAGTAGCAAGTCCAGGACAGAAGCCAGGGCTGTCCCGAGGTCTCTAGGCATCAGGATTGACTGCAGTCTCCACATTTCCCAGTACCTGGGTGGAAGGTGCTCCCACCATGCACTTCATCTAGTGCAACTCCATTTAGAGCAGGGAGCATCTGGTTGGTGGGCTCAGGTCACGAGCTCACCTCTAGCCTTGGTGGAGGGGAGGGTAGCCTGGGCACAGTGCTTCTGTTACTAGACATGATGTATGAAGAAGATTAGCGTCCTGTTACTAAAGGAAAGGGTGCTGGAGGCCCCAAGCCAGCCAACAGTCCCCACAGCGTCTTTGCCACCTTTTCTGATCATTTTAAATTCCTGAGTGCAATCATCAGTAATTGTTCATTCTTTTTGTCTTCATGGACTTCTGAAAACTGATGGCCTACACAAACAGACTCATTCCTATGCTCTATCATATTGTATGACTTCTTGATTTGGTGAAATATCTGCAAACTTAGATCCATTTCTTTCACAGGTTATAGAAAGGGGGGATCTGCCAGCCATTGGAGGAAAACTTGCAAAGCGTTGCTGCCTGTTGCAGGGGGCCGGGCAAACAGATACCTGTGTTCCTGGGTCAGTGGTGTACCCTGTGCCCTTCTTTATCTCCGTGGAATCACCTCTCTGCTAACCCTAGTAGGTTGTGAGCTCTCCAGGGCAGGAATCCCAGCATGGTGCTTGGCACATTGTAGATGCTCAGGCAAACTTGGTTAAATGAATGAATGAATGA